AGCTTTCTGTGGCATACAGTATTTTAGATGTTCTGTAGTTTGTGTCCAGCAAAAGGGAGGACTGACACATTATCCCCTTTAAGCTTGTGTGATCTTTACAACATATTTATCTTTTGAATAAAAGGGGAGATTTCTGATTGGACCCTTGTTTGTAACCTGACCCCTGAAGCACTGGACAATGTAATGAGCTGTGTGGCTGGGGAGCAGGTTCAAGGGCTCGTTCAGGTCTGGTGCCCCTGTCCTAACCTCAGACAGTAGCAGAGGTGCCTCCTGGGTTCCCACTCCAAACCCACTTTTGTTTCTTTAGGTTGGTTCTTTTTCTCTCGTTACTTCTTTAATTTCCTCCAGACAGTCCCATGTCTCTGTCCTCTGCCTGTTTTTGTTTTTGGTTGGTCTGTTCCTCAAAGACTCTGCCAAAGCTTCATATGCCCCTTCTCCCCTTCGTTCCTTATACGCGTGTGAATTATTTCTATGAGATATTTTGAGTTCTCTTTGATTTCCACATGACTGTTGAATCTATTCAGTTGCTGTTTGTATATTATTCTTAGTCTTTTATGATTTCTTAAGTTTCATCTTTATTATATTTTAGGACCCAGGGATCATCCTGATATTGTTGATTCATTTATGCAACTCCAAGCTCAGGTGTGTTTTTGGTTTCTTATTTCATTCACTTTGGGTTTCTCTCTCTCTTTTCCTGATTTCTTCCTGATTCTCTGTCTACCCCTCTCCCTGTCCTTTGGGCCTTAGGGTGCCCCATCATAAAGGCGAGACAATGGAATGACATACAAGGGCAACTTTAAGAGCTGTGGAGTTGAACAGTCACATTAACATAAAACAGAAATCATTTGTTTGTATATACACAACAAATCATATTAATCATGTTATAGGATAGGGGTGAGTGACATCACATATTTACATTAAAAATGAATTATTTTGATAACCACATAATATTTTTGCAATGTGCTAAAACATGCCCAGAAATGTCTTTGTTGAGGTTTTGCACAAAAAGTGAAAAGACTGTTGCAGAAATATTGCATTTTACCAGTTTTACTGGATTGTACTTGGAAGTGTCTTTTTTCTTTTGTTTTTTTAATCAAACTTCTTTATAATTTTCTTTTATTATTACAAATGATATTCTCTGTATTCAAATTTACATATTTTTATGAACAATTTTATTATCACTTATGTCTTACATGCACAAAACTCCTGGAGACAGACTGTGCCAGACTACATGTCTTAGTACACTATAGGAAGTGTCTAGTCTTGGTTGGCCAGGCTGTTTTTATCTTTCATGTAGATGATTTAATGCTTACCTCTATTATAGGCATTTTCTCTTGTCTAGTATAGTGTGGATCAGAAAAAAAATTGTTTCTGGGGTTCCCTCTTCAGAGGTATCTGTAACAGACTTGAATCTGCACTGTCCCATTCTGATCATGTGGAACAGGAGCTTAGACTTAGACAACCTTTATTGATCCACAAGGGAAATTATTTGAAGGTCTAATCTTGTCATTGTCACTGACTGATTGCTGTAGTAAATATTTCAGCTCTAATGAGGATTGTGGATTTAGTTTGAGGTGATCAGTTAGTCTCCCAGCCATGCCCCCCTTTAAGCTCATTCCTGCCTAGAGCCAATTGAAGCCCAAATGAATTAATATTTGATTAATATTAATCAGTTGAGACAAATTGGCAGATGGCTCTCCTGTTTATATTTTTGTCTTCTGTCCTCATCCTACTCTTTGTTTTCTATCTTTGGATAGATCTGCTCTCCATCTTTCTCTCCCTCTCTCCTCCATCTGAATGAGTTCATTACAAGATCAGTTGTATTTATCTGCACACGTTAATTACTCACTTCTGTTGCATTCAGTCCAGTCAACCAAAAACAAGCAAAAGTAATCTTTCAACAATTAGAATGTAATTAAAGCAACAAAGCCAAAATCATCATTACATTTAGTTTGACTTTCTAATGATTTTATAGTTTAACTTTTTGCTATTTGTTTGTTATACTTTCTTCATTGGACAATTGTTTTGAATAGTTGCAGTTGTAGCCTGGTGGACAGACTTGTCCTTGGTCTTTTGTCTCGGTCAGATCTTTCTACCAGGCTGAAGGGGGATTTGTGGTAGTACTAGCAAAGGTTGAATTTTGTGATACAGTAATGCTTGGGTTTGACCTACAAAACATGCTCTGTTAAGTGTGTTGTGTCCCTTTTAGGCTCTCAAGCGAAAACCCGATTTATTCTTGTCTGAAAATCTCGATGTGAAGGCAGTGTTCCATTGTGGTGAGTTTAATTATCCTGTATTGTAATCACTATACACAGTACTAATATAGATGTGATACCCCTAAAATCCTCATCAGTACAATGAAAATAAACTGGCAATATAATCACTTTACTGATATTTGTGTCTCTGTTTCAGGAATCCTGTCGCTGAAGTTCCCAGAGGCTCCAACTGTCAAGTCAACCTGCTTCTTCTTTGTGAGCTTTTTACGCAATGTTTTAAATACATAATTGTTCACCTGTGGTTAAATTAAAATTCTATTTTGCCTTTGTAGACCGAGCTGTTACCCCACTGCTATGATGTGCCCCCGGTGGCCAGGATAGTCGAGCAAGAGGGTAAACTATTGCTCCAGGCAGTTTTGGAGGTGGGTAGCCTCAAACAGATAAAAAGTAAAAAAAAAAAACTCAGCTGTAACTAAAAGTGACTTGTTTTTAATTCCAGGGTATTGGGGGCGGAGCATCTCGGAGCCTCATGGACCAGTTTGCAGAGGTGCTATTTGCTCTGAACAAGCACTGCTTTGCACTGCTCAATGTTTGGCTGAAGGAGGCACTGCAGCCACCTGGTTTTCCCTCTTCACGAGTCACAACTGAACAGAAAGACCGCTTTTGTCAGCAGATACTCAGGTATCATTAGTCCCCTGTATAGTATGTTTGTGTAGTCTTATAATTGGTTTAATGTATGTTTGGTGCCTCCACAGAGAACGAGTAAACAAAAGGAAAGTGAAGGAGATGGTGAAGGAGTTTACTCTACTGTGCCGAGGGCTTCACGGGACAGAGTACGCCGCTGAGTACTGACTTGACTTTGAAGGGTCTCGTAATCACGACCTCTGGATCCCACCGCAGTTATCACACCTCTGAAGACATCATGAAATGATTGTAATTACAATACTCCACTCACTGCAGGACAAGACCTACACCGACCTATTATCCACTGTGGCTTTTGGGACGCAGCCCTCTGCTTCAGTTTCTTCTGATTGTTATTTCAAAGTCTTTGGGGGAGCAGCAGTCCCAGCATGCTGCCTTATGTCTCCTATCTTCTCGTTCTGCCTTTCTAGATCTTCCCGTGGTTCTGAGGTTGTTTCCTAGTGATTAGCGTTGATATGAAGTGGTAGTGGTATCATACATAACTACTTCAAATTAATTATATTAGTGTACTCTGCATATATATATACACTTATAAATGTTTGGAGGTTGTCAGTCCTGCTGCTAATTTCTGAAAGTATGCCAAATGTTCAAAGAAGGAATCTACAAGAAAAAAAAATCACTAAACAAACTACTCACCTGACATGGTTTTTAACCTGTTTGCATTTGCCAAATCATTTTCAGTGACTGTTGTTTTTGTTGGACTTGACTCCTCATGGTATGAGTGGAGTAAACCAGGGTGTCTTGGCTCTAATGTTCTCAGCTCTAATGGTCTCAAATATATTTTCATCATTTTTTGCAGTCATCTTTTGAGAAATTATTGTAGCTCAAAGATAATATCATTACAGTAACTAAGAAGGGATTTGTGAGCGATTAGTTATCCTCATTGTTGGACTTGTTAGTCGCTGTAATCCTTCAAAAATTAATCAAAATGTGTAAATTATTCTTATTACCGAACACTTGTGTGTTTATAAATGTATGTATGCCTGTGCAAATGGTAATGTGCACATCCTTTTCACATGTGCACTTATAATGGACCTGTAAATGCATATGTACCCTCATTGTTTTAGCAAAGAGCTTTCATTTTACTATACTCATTTATACTACTCAGCATCTGACCAGGCGTATTCTATTTTATCACTACTCAATCACACATATCTTATCATTAAAGGGCCAGTCAGTGATGATCAAATGTCATCTATTTATCTATTCTACACCGACTGTTGCCCTTATGCTTATATGAGTAAGGACCCAAAAATTTTCATTTTGGGTCACTGCCTTGGAGTGGACCAAGAAGGATTAGGAGTTAATAGAGAAATGCATTTGGAGTAACACAAATCTTTGCTTAACTGTTCTTGTAAGATATTGTGGGTGAAGTGATGTGATGGTTGTATAAAGTAGAAAGCCCAGTGGATATCTATTAGCACTCAGTCAGCATTGAAATGTACTACTATGTGCTCTAACTTAATCTCAGTCTAATCCTTCTGTCTTATCCAAGGTGCCTGCAAACATGTAGCATGTATATGTGTTTTGTGGGGTGGGGTCCGGGGGCAAGATAAAAAGGCAAAGGCATATTGTAGATGCACAAGATGATGTAAACTTTGAATCAGCTGTCCTGCCAGTTAGATAAAATAAAACTGTGAATAATTAGTGGCTCTACCTTTGTTCTGCATCAATGAAAGTGGTGGTTGTCACAGTTATTACCAAGTTGTAGGAGGAGGAGGGGAGGGTGATATAAAATGTACATTGTTTTTGTACCTTGGCTTTAATTTATTAAATATCTAAGACCGCAACTGTTGTCTTAATTTTTTTTTTGTAGTTACATTTTGATCTTATGACGCACATCGCTGACATAAGAAACAAAACAAGTTCATACATGCAACGAAATGTAATTTAGTAGTGTGCCAGATGAAACAACCATGGTTAAAATCATTATTTTAAATTTTTTTATAGTCTGCATATATTATACATGATGTGATTCTAGTTAGTTTAAATTATGGTTAATTTCAAAACAAAAAAAGCAGTTTTGGGTTTTGATCATCAGTTTTGGTAATGCCTCCTTTGCGCATGCGCACCCCCGCTGGTCACACGTGGGAGACAGAAGTCCATCCATCCTGTCCCGTGTCTAACTCAAACCACGCTCACTTCATTGAGGGACAAGCTGAGGTTTCCCGGGACAGGCTAGCCGTAAGAAACACAGGAGAAGTACTGAAATTGCTGCATGTAAGTCAGCTGCAAGTTACCATCACTTTGTGCTAATGCTATTGTCTTTTAGCAACAGTGGCTTTAGTCTGTGCAAATTAACTTCCCGTATCTTAGGCTACAGTTTACTTAGACCTAGATTAAATAATGAATGTACTGTTTTGCTTTAAACGTTTTTACCACAACAGTGATATGTAGTCAGAAATTTCCTGAAAGTACAGTGTGTGCCTGCATATTGATTGACTCATTTTTTATTGTCCTTTTGAATGAGAAAACAAACACGCTGAAGCCAAAACACACTACATATGAAAGACACAACATTTATGGAAGAGAGTTGTTTGGCACACTGATGTCTATGGGGAAAAAGCTATATAGTTCAGAAATAAACCACCATCTGCAAGTGACCAAACAGTTCTTAACATGTAGTTTTGTAAGACTAATCGATTCCCTCTAAAAAAAAAAAAAAATTAAGTGTATTGCTCATCAACCCTGTCACTCTATGTTGTTGGCTCTGTTCTCTTCTTGACCTCTGACCTGATTGACCACTTTAAAACTCCTTTTACAGAACCTGTGAATTTCTGTTCTTAAGGGTTGTAACTTTTTTGATGAGGATGCTCTGTCTGTTTTGTCAGAAATGGCTGTGGTGCGGTTCTACAGTAATGAGTCTGTCCGAGCACGGGCTTTACAGAGGGCGGTCAAGCTCTACCCTCAACTATCAATCACCACTGAACTTTGCTACAATGTGGAAGTCTCAGGTCAGTTATAAACCTGGGTTATGGGGAGCCAACTACAACATGTTTGCTTCTTCCTGTATCACAGAAAGCCTTTTCCTGAAATCTTATTGCATTGTAATGCCCAAGCTGCATTTTTTTGGCCACTGTGCAGCTATACTCACCCTTGTGTTACCCTTTCCCTGCAGGTTATAATTGAGAAAAAATAAATAATAATATATTTACGGTATATGTTTGCAGTGTGTTCTGTTAAAGGCCAATACAGAGCCCCTGCCCCATAATTTAATAACCGCCTGGAACTGACACTGCTTAAAATAAATGTTTGTCGTAACAACATCAGTGTCTCTTGTCTTGTCTCTTGTTTCTATAAATTGGCAAATTAATGGAATCATTTATTTAATTATCATCAGTGGCTTTTTTTCAACTGAAACTAGTGGTAGATGTTACAAAGTTGTCCTTAATATCTGTGTTTTCATTACAGGTTGTGAGAATCTAAAAGATGATCAGCGTCAGATTCTCTTGTGGTTATTTCGTCCTCCCCAGCAGTCCCAGCCCCTGTCTGATAAACCCAGTCTGATAGCGGGCAGCGGGGCTACACTGGTGGAGATAGGACCAAGGTAAGAGTAAGACAGTGCTTTAAACCCATAGTATTCATTCAGTTGTATTTAGATTTAAATTGAATTGGTATTTTATGTTTTAGGCTGAACTTCTCTACAGCCTGGTCCACCAATGCCGTTTCCATCTGCCAAAGTGTTGGTCTCACAAACGTCACACGCATTGAACTGTCCCGAAGGTTCCTCATCAAGGTTTGAAATGTTTCAAACTTAAATGATTTATGTTTTATTTATTTTTTTGCTAAACCTAATTTTTGTGTCTTGCCTCTAGCCTTTGAATCCCGAGGAAGGGAACTGTGAAGAAAACATAAAGAAGCTGATTGAGTCATTGTATGACAGTATGACTGAATGCATCTATACAAATCCAATCACATCATTTGCTGTGGAGACCAAACCACAGCCTGTTTTTGAGGTGGACATTTTGGGAGAAGGTCAGGCAGCACTGGAAAAAGCAAATAATGATTTGGGTAAGATTTTGTTCAGCCCCACAGTGTTTGTTATTCTTCTCCTAATGTCAGGCACTCTGGGAGGACATTGTTGGAGGAAATGATGTCAGCTGATGTGTGACATTGATGTTTAACTTGTTAAAGTCACAAGACTGAAAAGATGCTCCTCATCAGCTCACACGTGCACACACAAATTGGTTCTTTAAAGTAGTAAAAACCTCAGACACACAGATTGACTTCCACTATATTTATAACAAGGGAAAAAGACACTGTTGTAAACAGTAATATTGTAAACAATAGTATATACTGTTTGTAGAGTATTATGGCTCCTTGTAGCAGAACACAAACTAATCTGATATTATACATTGGTTGATTTGTTCATAAGATTTCCAAATTGACAAAAAATTAGGTCACTTATTTACCCTTGCTGAAATTAATCCATAATATCTAAGAATAATTAAAGATTTAGATGGTTTTTAGATTATCCTATGCATATTACATAAATAGGATAATAAATGGGCAGAAGACATTAGGCAGATTTTATATATATATATATATATATATATATATATATATATATATATATATATATATATTTATATACTACATTGAAAGGAGGAAGAAATTTGAAAAAAAAAGGCCATACTTTTTTAGTAAATACTTACAAAACTGCTATTGTTGATTTATTTAGTTCCAATTGTTTTGTCAACAACAGGTCTGGCCTTTGACTCCTGGGATCTGGACTATTACACATCAATGTTTCAGAGAGTTAAAAGGAATCCAACCAGTGTGGAGTGCTTTGACCTGGCTCAGTCAAACAGGTCAGATTTTTGCATTTTAATTTATCTATACAATGTTATATTAGTATCTTACAATTATGGCTGACAATACTTATGGTTTGTGTGGCTTTTTGCAATCAACAATTTCCAGTATATCTGTTTACAGCTGCATTTAACTAACAATAACAAACTATTGAAAATTTTGAATAACATCATGGAAAAAAGGTAAAATTGATAAGTGTATTGCTCTGAATTGACTTCTACACATTATCTATCTGGAACGGCTTTTTCTGAAAAAGGCATTTAGAAAAAGGAGGGATTTGCAGCAGAATGTGTTGAGCTGATTGAGTGAACCACCCTGAAGTGCCCAGCTACCAGCTTCTTTTTAGTCAGTCACAGCCAAAACTAGTGTCATTCTAGAGAGGGAATATGTCAATAAATTAATTTAGCCATCAAAAAGCCACCATCACTGCTGCCATGTTTGTTTTGCTCCGTGTAGCCCTTACAGTCTATGGCAGGGGTGTCCAAACTTTTTTCATCAAGGGCCACATATCTAAACACAGACGAAGTAGAGGGCCGATCGAGGGCTGTAGACTGATGCTCAGTACAGGGAATAATTGAAATGTGAGCATGTTTAACACATTAGAATGAGCCATCAGTCTTTATTCATGCTAAGATCCTTAAAACCAAACACTAAGTTAGCTTTATCAAGGTAGATTTTCAAAAAAACTTGCAGTAAAAAAATATTTTTCAATTGATGCAAGGTAATTTGGGCCAATTGACCTGGAAGTCTGAGGAACAAGAAAAACTTGTCTGAGGGCCGCATTTGGCCCCCGGGCCATAGTTTGGACATGCCTGGTCTATGGTGTGGGCCTGGTGCCTGAAACACCTCCCCCTCTGCAGAGAAGCTTTGTGATTGGGCCCAGCACTGCGGGAGTAAAATTGAAACTGTACATTGGGAGCACCTCAAGATGGATTCTCGTGAGTTTGTAAACTCACAAATATTGCGAGAATCCATTTTGCTCCACATTGTTACTTTAAACGTGTTCTACTCACACTTTCTTTCAGTGAGCACAGCCGGCACTGGTTCTTCCGTGGCCGGATGCTGATCGATGGACAGGAGCAGACGGAGACTCTCTTCAGCCTCATCATGGACACACAGAGCCACACCAACCCAAACAACATCATCAAGTTTTGTGACAACAGCAGGTCAGGAATGTGGTTTACATTAAGCCCAGAAACATTTTAGAAATTTGAGAATGGAAAGAGAATTACACTTTAAACTACATCTTAAAACACTCTCAAACACATTATGAGTGTTAAAATATTTAAAATGTATTTGTATAACCTAACCTAAACAAAATGTGAGATTTAAGTTGAGTTACAGTGGGTTTATATAATATTGATTGATATTGTCCTTCTGTGCCTTTAGTGGTATCAAGGGGGTGGAGCTGGACTGTCTGTATCCTAAAGATCCATCCCAGGCCAGTCTGTACGAGACGCGACAATCACTCCGACATGTCATCTTTACTGCAGAAACACACAACTTTCCAACAGGTCTGAGAGAAAAAACCTTCTCCCATTGAGACATTTTAGTACAATTGCTTTGCGTAAAAAATACATTTCACAAAACCTTATTTGAAAACGACAAAGTATCAACTTAATCAAATTTTGAAATGCTGCAATAACTAACTCTAACTTCTTTTTTGCAATAAATATACCCCTAATTGAATAAATGCTGTTAAAGGCCATACCATAGACTATATATATATATATATATATATATATATATATATATATATAAGTGGACGGAACTAGTGTGAAATTTGCATGCGGGCTCCTCCGGATCCTATTGACCCTGGTTCCCATTGACTTTGGAATATTGTGGCTCCTCTCTCTGTAACTGCTGCATTGATCCTTGTCAATTTGGTCTTTAAATGTTCATATTAATCTGCTCTACATGATCCTGGTCTTTTTATTTTGCTATGTTGTCTGTTTAAAAAAATATTCATAATATAAAGCATGGCTCCAAATTCACTCCTGTAACCACTAACATCAGAAACTTCATTTGAGTGCGAGAACGTTCTGGGTGTCATCACACTCGCTTAGTCCTATTCTTTATACAGTCTATGGGCCATACTGTGATCAAACCCCCACCAGAAAAGCTACAGTGTACAGTACAAGTTAGTGTATCTTTAATTGTTCACATCACAATTTCAGTAAAAAAAAAAAATGCCAGTGTAGTGTTAATAATTTTTTGTCATGGCAATATTGCCTTTGCTAATGTTGCAATAAGACATAATTCTTGTTTTTGCTCAACGCACAAAGTGAAAACCTCCTTCTCTCTTTTGTAGGTGTTGCCCCCTTCAGTGGAGCCACTACAGGAACAGGGGGGCGTATCAGGGACGTCCAGAGCGCGGGGCGAGGGGGGCATGTCATTGCTGGGACTGCTGGATACTGCTTTGGAAACCTGCACATACCAGGTAACTTCTATTCATTTTATTCAGTAATATCATCCAAGCTTAACTGTCCCATTTTGAACACTTTTTGTGTTATCATATCATATCATATCATATCATTTCATATCATATCATTTCATATCATTTCATATCATATCATTTCATTTCATTTCATTTCCCACCCCAGTATAATTTGTATTTTTTTGTTTGTAGGCTATACATTGCCCTGGGAGTGTACAGGGATGGGCTGGGATTATCCTTCCAGCTTTGCCTCTCCACTGCAGGTGGCAATAGAGGCCAGTGATGGAGCCTCTGATTATGGCAACAAGTTTGGAGAGCCTGTTCTTTCAGGTATGGAAAAGATAAACTGACACTTATACAGATATTTTTATCTTGAAAATTGAAGTTTTACAGGTTCTAAGATTTCTTTTCTTGTGCTGTATTATACTGTACAATACTGTAGTTGATTCATCAATTATCATATGTCTAAGTGGATATTGTCTATTAATACATTCACAAACAGACTATAAAACTAAAGGCTTTTTGTAACATCATTTTACTCTGCAATTCACTAACAACTGTGTTCATTTGTAATTTCTATGTTTTGTATTCCTCGTTACTAAAACATGATTTTGGGTGCAGGTTTCGCCCGTTCTTTTGGGATGCGCCTGACAAATGGTGAGCGCCGAGAGTGGATCAAACCTATTATGTTCAGCGGAGGGATCGGGTCCATTGAGGATGCCCATATAAAGAAGCAGGAAGCAGAGACGGGTAACTCATAGTGTGAAAGATGTTCAGTCGATGCAGATGCTATTTTTATGCACAATAATCAAAGCATCAGCACTAGATCAATGACTCACCGCTGCCCCCTGCTGTTTCTGCCAATCAGGGATGGAGGTGGTGAAGATTGGAGGCCCTGTTTACAGGATTGGTGTGGGAGGTGGAGCTGCTTCATCTGTGCAAGTATGAACCTCAAGAGACACAGGAAGTCACAGTGATGATAGGTCTATATATGATGATGTGCAATTCTGTTATACAACTAGTTAAGATTTATCACATTTTACCCTAATTTCTACACAAAAAAACAGCATGTGATTGGTCTGGATATAACGTATAACATGTAAATGAATGTGTAAATCGACTAATATTTGGTATATAAAGAACTTAAATTTTCTATCCAACACAATGTTATGAAGACTATTTGTATCTCTCTTTCTCGTTACTTTACCAGAAAGTCCCTTGAGTTTAGAATAGTTGCCAAACTTGTATGATGGCTCTTTCGTATGATGTTCTAGAAAGAGCCATATAGATTGTTTATGTTTCATGTATTATCTCTCTTCAAATATTCTCTTAAAATTCTCCAAATTACTTTTTGTTATACTGACCTCTATAGATGCCCACTAGATGAATGGGATGTTGTGTGTTTTCAGGTTCAGGGGGATAACTCCAGTGACCGGGACCTAGGAGCGGTGCAGAGAGGAGACGCTGAGATGGAGCAGAAAATGAACCGAGCTCTCAGGGCCTGTTTGGAGAGGAGTGAAGGAAACCCTATCTGCAGCATTCACGACCAGGGCGCCGGAGGAAACGGTAACACAAACTCAATAAAAATGAAATGAGTAACGATGATGTATGCTTTTCTTGTATATGAACAAAAGTAATTATTCTGTTACAAGCAAAGAATTTCCATCTGTGCTTGTTATAAAATGTATTTATAATAAAAGAGTCTGGGCAATTGGTTATTAATACTTGTGTCTCATTCATCATTTAATCATTGTCATTCTTAGGTAATGTGCTGAAGGAGCTTAGTGAACCTGCTGGAGCTGTGATTTACTGCAGTAAGTTCAAGGTAATCTTTGCTTATAAATTATATGCTAATTTTATTGTGTTTGTATTAAAGTGCAAATATTATGCTAAAATGACATTTTGGATTTTAATCAACAAAACCACAATTCAAACTATGTTTTTAACACACCTTCACCTGCTGCATTCTCATCATTTCAGCACTAAAATTGCCTTCACTAAACTGCAATTGTGACAAAGCTATTGTTTTGACCTAATTTAAATGGCTTCTCTTCTCAGTGCACTATCCTCAAAAATCAGGGATCACATTTGCTTGTTCATTATTTTAAGGTGTAAAAGTAAAACCAACACAATTCTTAGTGTCCAAAATGAGTGAAGCATCCATAATTTAAGACTGTTATTTATATTTTGTAGAAAGGTGACCCAACGTTGAGCGTGTTGGAACTATGGGGGGCAGAGTACCAGGAGAGCAACGCTTTACTGCTTCGTCCGTCAGACAAAGACTTCCTGGAGAGGGTCTGTGTGAGGGAGAAGTGTCCAGTCGACTTTGTGGGAAACATCACAGGAGACGGCAAGGCACGTTTCATCCCTGGTCAATAAGTGCACAGTGGTCTTGTTAAATCAATGCACTTACGTTCAGAGCTCAATGACAAGACTTCTAATCTGTATGCCCTCATAGATTACATTGGTCGATGATGAAGAACAGGTCAATGGAGGTCGCTGTCCTGTTGACCTGCAGCTCGAGTGGGTGTTGGGGAAGATGCCGCAGAAGGATTTTAAGATGGAGCGTGTGAGCCCAAAACACAAAGCCCTGGTTCTGCCACCGGAGCTCACAGTGAGAGAGGCTCTGGACAGGGTGTTGCGTTTGCCCGCCGTGGCATCTAAACGGTACCTCACCAACAAGGTCAGTGTGTTCACGACTGTAGAATATTTTGGAAAAACAACTATATACAGAGATGAATTTGTCTTGGACTTTTTGGTGCTTTCACTTGCCATGACAATTAGACACATTTGACAATGAAATAAAAAAATATGAATTATCTATATAATATATGGCTATTAATATCTACAAATAAGATACTTTTAAGAGAGCATCTGAGTCCCAGAAGTTTAATTGATTCGTGTGAATAGATTATAAAATGTAGTATTTTGTTGTTTCATGTTTTGGACTATTTTAGGTCAGATGTTTTACACAGCCTTACTGTTCAACTTACTTTACCTTTACTTTCATTTCAAATTTATTTCCAAAATGCTTTCATGTTTTGTCAGTTTTTCACACTGCATTGTAATTCATAATCTACTGATCCAGCATGTCATGATATCAGAAAGTGACTATTGTTGTGGCTTTTCGTCAGGTGGACCGATCTGTCACTGGGCTGGTGGCGCAGCAGCAGTGTGTGGGTCCTTTGCACACCCCGCTGGCTGATGTCGCTGTAATCGCGCTGTCTCCGTTTGGCCTGGAGGGGGCAGCGACAGCCATTGGAGAGCAGCCAATCAAAGGTCTGGTCAACTCTGCAGCTGGGGCCCGCATGGCTGTGGGAGAGGCCCTCACTAATCTGGTGTTTGCCAAAGTTACTGCTCTAAAGGTGAGCTGAGTTGATTACAGAAACTGAAATTGTATTTATTGTCATTATATGTCAAGCATAATATCCCCATTACCAAAAAGAGATGCTATGTACACTGCATCACAGATATATGATTTTATATTGTTTAAAAAGAAAGCAAATATGGATTTCTCCAACCTGGTTTTGCCTGTTTTGTCAGGATGTGAAGTGCAGTGGGAATTGGATGTGGGCTGCCAAGTTGCCTGGTGAGGGTGCGTGCCTGTGGGACGCCTGCAGAGCCATGTGTGAAGTGATGGGGCAGTTGGGTGTGGCCATCGATGGGGGCAAGGACTCTCTGAGTATGGCTGCCAGAGTAGGAGAGGAGACCGTGAAGGCACCAGGTAACCTCTTAACAGTTTGTAGGATAATTTATAAGAAATCATAGATCCAAATGTATATATCCAATCAATCACCATGTATATTTTATTATTAACAATAGATTTGTCTCATCTCATCCCCATCCCCAATTATAGAACACACTAATGAATAGAATAAGAGAATAAAATAATGATATGTCATTAAGTCATCTGAAACTTAGCAATTGTATGAAGTTGTGCCAATAAAGTAAAAATCTCATTAGCTTTAACTTCTGTTCTAGGGGCTTTGGTTATTTCGGCTTATGCTGTTTGTCCTGATATCACTGCTACTGTCACGCCTGATCTAGAGGACCCAGATGGCAAAGGTAACTATTAGTCAGATAATTTTAAAGTGTTCCTCTATTACTATAACTATAACTATTTTATATGAATGAGCACTAAAATATTGTTGTAATTGTTGGGTAAAATGAGTCACAAAATGTATATGTCCTTTTGACTCTTTGTCCTGTCTCTAGGCATGTTGTTGTGGGTTCCTCTGAGTCCAAACCACCACCGTTTGGGAGGCTCAGCTCTGGCTCAGTGCTACAGTCAGCTCGGGGACTGCTCTCCTGACCTGGACCACCCACATCTCCTCTCAGCCTGCTTCAACACCACACAGACACTCATCACAGGTCAGAAATCACTGCCTCAACAAAATAATGACACATTTTTACTGTATATTTTCTGTGGTTCAGGACTTCTGGTTTTATGATGTCACCAAAGGACCAAGCGTTCACTGTGGTGACTGTGCCCCCTGGTGGGTAGTAGTGAAGCATACTATTACCCATACATATTAAAAAAGACTTGTGTCTCTTTTTGAAAAATAACTTAAATCAAATCAGCAATAATCTTTGTCTTTGGTATTTTTAAAAGCATCTGGTCCAATCTGATTACAGGTCTGTGTTAATGTTTATAAAACACATAATGCAAACATCATTCCCTGTTAATTATATTGTTTCAGATCGTCTGCTGAGTGCTGGTCATGACGTTAGTGATGGAGGCCTGATTTCTTGTATTCTGGAGATGGCCTTTGCAGGAAACAGAGGAGTTGAAGTGGAGTTGTCCTCACATGGTGCTGGAGGTGAGTGATTCGGTGACTTTTTCATTAATTATTATACAAGATAAAGTATTCATCTTGGCAAAAAGTCAAACATTTTCTTTGTTTCTATTCAGTGATGGAGCTGTTATTCAGTGAGGAGCTCGGCCTAGTCCTGGAAGTTTCTCAAAATGACGTTGAAAATGTTTGCCAGAGATATACCAGCGCAGGTGTGCAGTGCCATCAGATTGGGAAAACATCTGGTTTTGGACCTGATTCAAAGGTGAGACAGCTTTCTTTGATACATTGATCTGTGTATTTAGATAATATGTATTATGTAATATCATAGCGCTCAGGAGTATGTATACATTTTCAGTATATTAAATAATGAGCTCTCTTGTAATATACATCACTTCTGACACTTTAGCTCAAATAAATTAATCTTTATTTCATATTTAATAATAATGATATTATATGTTAAGTGAATAAGTAGTATATCTACAATATTATAAGCATATATTGTTGCACCATGATAACATTGTAATATGACATTTGTATTACATCTTATTTATGCTGTAGGTCCGCGTGTGTGTGGATGGACGAGAGGTGCTGAACGCATGTCTCCCTAAACTGCGAGGGGTTTGGGAGGACACCAGTTTCCAGCTCGAGTGTCTCCAGGCGAATGAGCTGTGTGTTAAACAAGAAGAGAAGGGGCTCTCCAGGAGGACACAGCCATACTTTAAGCTGAGCTTTGACCCCGCTGAAATGCCCATCATTGAGCAGCTTTGTAAATAACTGCATGATAATAATAGTTTATCACCTTTATCACAATGTACAATTGTAAATTTTGTTGTGGCATTTTACAGGTGAGGGATTGCCTCGTGTTGCAGTAGTGCGAGAGGAGGGCAGCAACGGAGATAGAGAGATGTCTGTTTCTCTGTTCATGGCAGGATTTGAAGTAAACTCATGGGCAAAACCTACCATTGAAACCTGTGTTTGTACTTACTTGTTGTTGATGCATTTATGATTTTTTTTATAGGTTTGGGATGTTACAATGCAGGACCTCTGTTCTGGCTCTTTAACCCTTGACCCTTTCAAAGCAGTTGTGTTTGTTGGAGGCTTCAGCTATGCTGATGTCCTGGGATCAGCTAAAGGTACGAGGCAATAACTTAAAATCATTTAGGACTGTTTTTATATCATTCATATTTTTTTAGGTTGGGCTGCCACAGTTGCATACAACCCAAAAGCCAAGGCTGAGTTTGATCGTTTCCGGCAGCGAAGCGACACCCTGAGTTTGGGCGTCTGTAATGGCTGCCAGCTCCTCGCCTTGCTCGGCTGGGTTGGAGAGACAGAAAATGGCAAAGGTAAGACTGTGGAAAATACTAGTAAATAAACCAAACAATGCACCTCAGATGATGCATACTATATATATATATATTTTACATACATTTCTCTTTGTCTTATTTGCAGACTCTGATGTGGTGCTGACCCATAATAAGTCTGGCAGGTTTGAATCACGTTTTATCAGTGTTGGGATCGAGAAGTCCCAGTCCGTGTGGCTCCAGGGCATGGAGGGGTCCTCGCTGGGGGTGTGGGTTGCACATGGAGAGGGTACAGTCATTTTGCTGCCTAATACAATATTTTATGTGATCATATAGTAGTGATAATTTACCATATTTTACAATGACTTTTTTCCAGGTCTGATGCAGTTTTCCAGTCCACAAGCACTAGAGCGGATAGTGTCTGCGGGTCTGGCCCCTGTTCGTTATCTAGACGATGCAGGACATCCCACACAGGAATACCCTCTGAACCCTAACGGCTCTCCACTGGGCATTGCTGGTCTGTGCTCCTCAGATGGCAGACACCTCGCCATAATGCCACACCCTGAGAGGTGCACCCTGGGGTGGCAGTGGCCCTGGGCCCCGAGGGACTTCCGGACCTCCCTTAAACCATCTCCATGGTTACGAATGTTCAACAACGCAGCAGCTTGGTGCAGCAACACACAGTCGTGTTAATTGTACCTTTACCCTAAAATAATTCTATTGAAATGACTTTGTACTTGAGCTTTTCTACCATCATTTTGACACTAACCGAAAAATTGGTTACCTACTGAATAATAAAACTGTACTTAACAAAAACTTAATCCCTTTATTGTTTTATAGACATCTAGATTTAATAATATATCTATAAAAAACTGTCACTTGTAATATCCTATGCACTGTTAAATGTAGAATTGGCAGAATATTCAGCAACCTGGTTGTAGTATCTCATATAAAGAAAGGTTAAATATGCAAAGGCAATAAATATTTTTTTATTTTATACACAAACATTAATATATATTTTTATATATTTACAAACCTCTTACTAATAAACAGATGAGGCACGCCTTGTAACCCTGTAACTGAATAAACATTACTTGAGACTACAACAAACAACTTGGAGATGAACATAACAGGATAATAGATAATGTTATAATTCTATAGGTTCTTGTAAACATTGTAGCAAACTCAACTCCTGCCACCTAAATATTTATGGAACTCAAAACTTATAACAGATCACAAACTATAGTGAGTTCCCAATGACTGCGCGAGTTGTTGCTACATTTGCTCTCTGTCCTCTTTGTGGCACCATCTGCTGGTTCACATTAATGACACAGATCAGTAGCAGAATGACCACCACCAGGTCGTCCAGCACACCCAGCAGCCCACACAAGGAGGGTTCAGACTGGAAGGATCCTGCAGAGGAGGATGGGATAGACTCCGGAGAAGACGAGATGGACACAACTGTCCCAATACAGCACAGTGCGACCCGGAAGAAGAACAAGCCAAGCATGCCCCCCATGGTGCCCAAACCCCGAGCCAATAGCTGCAGTAGAAGAGGAGCATCGCACAGGTAGTCTGATATCTGAAACAGAGGACAGTAAGAAAGTTAGTGTTATAATTTTACTTACATGTTGCATAATCTTTACCTTTTAGACATACATATTACAAATTGTATTTTGTAAATTAATTATTTCTTGAAATTAATTTTGTTAAACATTTTACAAAATACAGAATGCCTATAGGAATGTGTTTTTCAAGAGACAAGCAGGGTGTGCGCGGGGGCGTGTCCATATCCAGTATCACCAAAGCCTTTATTTTCCATGTTTTTTCTGGAATGTGGTCACCCAGTTCTTTGATATTTAAATGTACTTCCCTTTCTAAAAAAATATTTCTTTTCTCTCCTCCACTTTTTTCCCTTTGCATCCCCATAGCAAATCATCTGTCATGCTTGTCATGTCGTCTTTCCCCTGATATTTCAACAATTTAAAAAAAATGAATGAAATGTGGAATTTGGCACTGACCGTTCTTGGAGCTCCAGAGTATCGTCTGTTGTAGTTTGTGATTTCTCCTAGAACTTCTTTTGACTGTTGATCTGATCGACTTTCTTTGAATAAATGACACAGCGCATTGACCTATAAAGAACATTATGCACAAAATGTTTTAATCATAACAGAGAAATTAATAGTGCACAGATCAAAGGTGTTTTTCCAGTGGGTCACATTCCAATTAAGTCTAGCAAAAATTGTAGCAAAAATAGCAAGAGACTGTGTCATTCATGTAAGACAGATAATTACAGATGTACACCTACAAGTAAAAATAATAAATAAAAATATAGTAATACAAAATATATCTCTGCTGTATACAAGAGGTGGGTCAGGAGAAGAAGTGCAGAGATGAAATAGTGCTTGACAGGCCATAGGGTTATCTATTATATAAGGGTGAGTTATTGTAGAGTTGTATGGAGTTTGGTGTGAATTTAGTCTTCTATCTGCCACTGTCCCTCTAGACTAATATCAACTGCAGCATGTGGGTAAATAGCAATTCCATTCATATATATTTTATAAAGGTAATCCGATCCTGTATTTGCAATTTGTTGTCATAATTCCTGCTTACAAAACCTGTATCTGTGCTATCTATTATTATTATTATATTTTTGATAGCTCAGTACACAGTTGCTTAACCTAGGCAGGTAAATTGACAAGGGTTTAGTGATTACATCCATCAAATGCAAACCTCTTAAACATTTGCTTGATATTAAAGCTGCATACCTTTTGTCTACACAGAGGACAGCTGATTGCATCCAACCATGAGCCATGTCTCCAGTAGGTGATCAGACAGGGAGCTGCAGACAACAACACAAAAGATTCAGATTACAGCAATAAAAGTGTTAGAAGCATGTCAAGCATTTCATCACCAATAATAACTGAAAGATAGGTGGGGGCAGTAGGGTAAGTGAGTTCAAGGTAACACTGAAAGGATCATGTGACAGATGATACTAAAGCTTTTTTTTTAACCACACCTTTCAATGTTCTACAACACAATACAGCCATGTAGAGATGCATTTCCTTCTTGTGTGTAAGAGTTTTCCAGCTTGGACAAAGAGACAATAAAAGTCCATAGAATTTCCCTGTCAGGAAGCGTGTTCTCCCTTCTGATTACTTACAAAATTAATAAATTATTACAATTTTGTTTTCCCCAAAAGCTAATGCATTGTACAACTCCTTAAGTGCTTTTTGAAACTACATATACAAATTTACCTGCAACTACTACTACAACTGTTATTATTACTATTGCTGCTTATTTCTACCAGATTGTGTGTGATTGCTGTTACTACTTCTAATGTTAATTTACAAAATTCATAAATACACAAGTATTCATTTCAAAAACAGCTGTGTTAGTAGTTAGTAGTAACTTGTGATTTTAAATGTGTTTCAGTGATGTAGAGGTTAATTATTGAAAGCCTTACACTTAGATAAAAAATGTCAATGCTGATTATGGACGAACATTTGTGTAACCAAGCCTAACCCTGTCATGTGATTAAATTAAATTGTCGCTTACCGCAAAATAAATGGCCACAATTTGTGTTCACAGGGAAAGATGGAGCCTGGAGGCAAACAGGGCACTGGGGATCTCTTTGGGCTGCAGGTGAGCAAGAATTTGAATCCTAAAAAGGTGAATGAAAATGACAATGAACAAGTCATATTATGGAAATATGTAAAATAGTTAATATTTTAAAGTGTCAGAGATTGTGAGGACATTTAAGTGCTGCATGGTCTGATGTAGTCACCTTAGGGCGGTTCATGGATGCTGATGCTGAACTTATCGGTGCAAATATTTGAGATTTAGATGAAACTCTTTGATTCTGAACAGCTGGCTCTTCAAAACATCCACACGAGCTGGAATGTGACATAAAAACTTATTAAACAAATCTCACGAAACATAATTTAGGGCTGTATGAAATAAGGACTCTTGGTGTGTTGATTTTCATTCATCTAGCCTTAGACAGTTCACATTATTATAAAATGCAATTAAATTATGACTTACCTGGTCTGTGTAGTGTATGGGATCATTGAAGGCAGCTGAGGTAAGAAGGTAAGATCTTGTGTGTCTCTTAGCAGGAAGTTAAATGCAGACGAACAGCATCACTCAACAAAATAAATGGGAACTAGAGGTTAATAATCAACTATTATCAGCCGGTCCAGCTGTCAATACAAATGGTTCTTTAGCTCACGTCACAACTTTTATAGCAAGTATAAAGCACATGGAAGAATACAGAAAAGTAAGCTCTGCCTTCTGACCTAAATAATAATACATGTAAAAGATTACCTTCAACCAAATCCTTGCCAAAAGTGTCAACAACTAAAGTAGGTTAGGTTTGACCTTACCAATCATTTACCTAAAGTTTACCCAGCCAACACCACTAGGGGTGGGGATATTGCGCATTTACATAAGTAGATTTTATAATATATGTACTTAATCCCATGTAATTATAGTAGTATAGTGGTGGTAGTACTGTTAGCTTTTAGAGTACAAACATTAGTGATGAGACAGAACTATATCATTTACTTTCCCGTACGTACACAAATGTGCTTTTACTCCAGAGTAATATTCATACTTATTTAAAGGTGTGCTATGTAACTTTTCTGGTGGAGCACCCGCAGTTAGCTTGTCTCCATGGAGATTTTCTTGCTTTTCCTTGAAAGTTCCACAGTATGGCATTAAACTTGTCTATATTCATGGAGACAAGTAGATGATGCTACCAGGCAAAATTACAAGTTAGATCTGTGGAAAAGTAATCATGTTCACAGTAAGGATGCATTTCAATGTATTTTTGAGCATGAACACACCTGTAATTGTCTAATTGCAAGACATGTAAGTCTAATGCCATACTGTGGAACATTCAAGGCAAAGCAGATAGCGGACTCTCTCCCAGAAACGTCACACAGTGCACCTTAACTGTTGATTATGTACAGATTTGTATTAGACCTCCTCTACCACATAAATACAAATATATCCTGAAGGGTGCTGGTTTGATCTCCTGAGCCTATGCTGTGGTGTCCTTTGGCAAGACACACCACCATTTGCTTGATCATGTCATCAATAGCAGCAGTCGCGCACGTAGCCTGGTAGCCACAATTTTATGAGTCTGGCCTATAAAGAATACAGGGCGTCTACTAAGGCATTATAAAGATAGATTATTATCAGAATAATACATGCGTGAACAACTATGCACAAGTAAAAGAGTATTAAAAGAAATAATAGTTGAATAAAGTTTTTCTTTTTCTTTTTTAACTCATCATCATTGTGAAATCTTGGGCAGAAATATCTCAATATTGACATTGTTGGTTCAGATTAACTCAGATGAAGCCGCTGTGACTTCGGGTCATTTAAAAATAACTGTCCTGAGTGAGGGAGGGCACTACTGATATAAGCTTCACTAAAGTTACCTCACTGCCCCTTTACCAAAGGAGCGAAGTCCAGTGGAGGATCAAATCCATGCTCTCCTGCAAGGCTGATTTAACACTGAGAATAAGACTGCAATTAATGTGGAGTGAAGTAAACCAACATTCAGTTATGCAATTAGGCCTATACAAGCTGTAATTGTCAGTAAACATAAATCAGGAAACTTCAAGTAGGCTGCAAGGCGAGTTTGCACTTAGTTATCCAGTTTTCAAATGAGATCATCTCACAGGCCATCAACTTAAAACGCACAATTCATTTAGACTAAAGACATGTCTCAACTCGATAGAACTAGGGCTGTAGAAGGCAAGTGCAAAATGGGCATTGAATGAACTTGAAAATAACCTAAGTCCTGGGACAGTCCCAGTTTTGGGCCCTGTGTCCCTTGTCCCAGCAGATTTATACAAAAACAGTGATTTGCCTCAGTTTTATAAGAAATCCCTATTTTTGACCAATCTGATCCCTGCCAACAGCAAAGAGAGACATAAATTGTCATTTGTTTAGGTAAAATACAGGAAAGCTGCTAAAAAGGACAAAACACAAAGAAAATGTGACTATACTGACTCACATTAGTGCCTAGTGAGTAACTTCCCTTAATTACGCATTTGTTAAACTAGTTTATTGTTATGGACTAACCTAAACCAGGGATGTCCCAGTTTTTTATTTTGAAAATCTGGCCACTCTATATTTTGTAGAATAGGCATTACATGAAACAGGCCAATGCATAAAACTTTTTAAATAAAATATCCAAAATACAAAATACAAAAAAAAAAAAAAAAAAAAAAAAAATCACTTCTTTAGCCATTTTATGTTAGTCGATAAATGCGTGACACTATTTCAGTTCGGTTCATGACATTGTCAATATAACAGGCCTATATTTCTTTACAGTCTGCACATCACTCATTGCTTTCAGTAAAAATGCCTGAAAAATTTGCTGTAAATGAGTTTCTACGGGAAATATACTACTAAAAGAGAAGCTTTATAATTTCCCGTTAAACAATAAAGGGCAACCTCTGATTGGCTGAGTCCTGGTTTATGAGCTGTCAATCTTAAATGTCTCAAATCTCATTGGACCAATTAAAGCCCCAGTGATCGCAGAGCCACTAAGACGCCGAGCTATTCCCGTACACTTTACGGTATTTTAATAGCGTTACAGATGGACTTTGAGTGAGAATTACGCATTTATCGTAAGAAATTTACCTCTGGCTTCCAGCAGGTGAGGACAAATGTAGAGAGAGGAGCGGAAAAGCTTCGCTGTCAGGTAGAGAGGTCGTTTGGAAAATACAGCAAATGGACGAGAACCAAACCGGTCTGGTCGAAAGCCTCATAGTTTGGGTGAGTTTGTCCTTTACGATGGATTTTCTGAGCGGTCTACAAACACAAGATTGGCCGGACCGGAGCTGTATGTAATTCACCTGCAGCAGTAGCAGCGCTGTGGAGGTGACACTTTAGGAAAACAGGAAAAAGCTCCACGCTCTGTCGCCAATGTTCAGCTAAAATTACCACGTTTGCTCCATATTTACTCCTATAATTTGATTAACACTTCAACCAATCTGCTGTTTTGTTTGTTTGTTTGTTTGATTGAGTTCTTTCTTTCTTTGGATTTGGGGAATTAATCCAGTTAACTCAAGATATATGTTGAGTGAATCTTCTTTGTTTTGTTGAGCTTAAGTTCATCAAAGTGCCTCTTAATTTCTAGTATCTGTATTTTGCACTGTTTCTTACAAATACATTGGGCTAAAGGATGTGTGCGTGTTAAGATGCAGTGTACAGATATCTATCGTAAATAATGATATTTCTTTTTTATATAAAGCCTCAAAACAAATAATGTGGCTTTAATTCAGGTGTTGTGCTGATGGTGTTATAGCTTCCCACATCCCCTCTCTGCTCTGTTTCCTCTTCTCTCACATTACCTTAGTATTTATTTACTACCAACCTACAGTACCAGGCAAAAGTCCCCCCCACACACACACACACACACACACACACAAAAATGCACTTCTTTAAATGGTCACCCTATTGCTTTGATCATTGCTTTGCTCTTTTGGCATTTCTTGACACTCACATGGCAAACCTGCGAAGTGAAAACCATTTCAGTGACCAGGGGTTTGCAGCACTGTCAGTTAAGCAAAGGGTGGCTAATTTGAAAATAAAACTAGTTTAGTTATTGACATTTTTTCTTTGCTACATAATTCCTTATATCTTGCATTGCATATTTGATGTCTTCTATATGTAGAAACTAGTAATACACATAAGAAGGAAAAAAAAACTGTGTGTACAAACCTTTGGACTGGTAGTGTATGTTTGACAATGTTGATCATATTGGTATTCATTTAAGACTCACTGTTCTAATCTCAGCATCATTTGCCAATGTATTCACTGTCCTTCTCTTCTGAATGATCATAACTGTAACCTTATCTCTCCAACTTTATTTCCAAAAACATTTAACATGATCTGCTCCTCTTATTCCTAATCCCATCCATATTACTTTTTACTTAAAGATGATAGTAGATCTTTCCACCATTTGTTTCTCTGTGCCAGTATCTTTAAGCCACAATACATAGACCCCTAACCACTAAAAAATTCTCATTTAGGCCTATTTGTCTTTTTTAGCTTCAGACTTTCAGTCTCTCCGCTCCCTGCACAAAAGTGGAGGACCTGACCACCGGAGCAGCAATATCACAGGCTCTTCATCAAATGTAAGAGGCTGCATGTTTTTAACAGTGATATGGTTTGGTTTAATGTTAGCTCTAACAGAATGTAACCAATTTTGAAATAAAAACTTTCTAGGCAGGTCAAACAAAACCAACAAAAATAAAAGTGTAAGTGATGGAAGATGGATCTATGACTCTTATTTATTTATGCTTTTATTATGTGTTTTAGTGACCCAGTGTGGTTCAATGATGGATGGCTCAGTCGTATTAAAGCAGATGTTGAAGACAACTGGAGACTTAAGGTATTGAACAGCTATTTTTCTGACCCTGACCTTTTGGCATAGGGGGAAATATGTGCAGTTCCCTGTGGAAGTTATTTTCTACATAATGTATTGTCAATAAATGTCTGTTCATGCTTCCTTCTTTTCTGACCTTTTAATATCATATCTAAAATAAACACATGGACAATGTATAGCTATTTTCTAATGTCTCCCTAGATGAACAACCTAAAGAAGATTCTTCAGATGGTGGTTGACTATTATAATGAGGTACTTAATGTATATTAATATAAATTCAAGCCTTGTCTTAATTGGGGTTATTGTGAAGTGAAGTGTGTGAAGACTAGAGGTGTACTAGTTCACCTTTTCAGGCGCTATAGTGTATTTTAGGTTATGAGTATGTACCGAGTTGCCTTACACACCAACCAATAGAGTGAAACTATAATATAGACATTGTTAGATATTCATTCAGTCTTAACACTGGGCAGTTAATAATCTTTCAATACACTAACTGGTTGACCAAACCTTAAGTCGATCTAGTAAATTTGATACATTTAATATCACAATATTCCTATAATTGGCCTTTGTGATTAGTATCCTGCTTGCCGTGGTGTATATAGTAGTTGTTTCTTCATAAGTTGTACATTTTCTTGTTGATACGATTAAGCGTCACCTGTCACTCTACACCCTCAGACCTTGGCGCAGGACATCTCAGGTTTCCCTTTACCGGACCTGGCTCTTGTGGCCGAACACTCTGACTCTGTGCAGCTAGGACGACTGCTGCAGCTCGTCCTGGGATGTGCCGTCAAATGTGAACGCAAACAAGGTCTATTCACTAATGATTAATGATTACCCATTTATTGTAAAACTACAAGAATGTATGCGAGATATATAAACTCTTTGCATACAAACTGTTTAAAATGTTTTTTTTTTTCTCAAATGTTTAGATTATATTCAGACAATCATGACTTTGGAGGAGTCTGTGCAGCATGTTGTGATGACAGCCATACAGGAGGTCGGTACCATGAAATTATTCCAATTGCGAATGTTGGCAAAACTTGCAAAAATGTTAAATATTATGGGTGATACTGCAATATTTAAGTATGCAAGTAGGCTATATGAATATGTAAATAAAAAAAATCAAGAAAGCAGAAACTGGTCTGCATACATTTTTTATAACATTCAAATCCAAATTCAGAAATGGTTTTGTTAAAAAAAAAAAAAAGTTGATTAGTTTCTGACAAAGGACTTTTTTTAAAATTACAATTATTAAATTTTTTTCTCTTAGCTCATGCCCCCGTTTGGAGCTGAGCTGTCTGGGGACATGGAACAGCAGGTCAGGCTCTAAACTAAACTCAATATTATTGTTTGATTTATAATTCACATGTGTCTTATTTATTTTTAATCCCAACATTACCATAAATTCGGCCAGTATCCAACATATCCTCTTTCTCCTTCAAGCTTAAAAAGGCCCTTGAAGACCTCGCTGAAGTTGCTACAGAGAAGGAGGCTTTGGCCCAACGTTGTCAAGAGCTGGACATGCAGGTGAAGACATGCATTCACTTACATTATGTCTTATAATCAAATGCCCTGCTGCAGTTCACTTTCTGCACATCAGCATAAAACATGAATGCAGTTGGCCGGGTACAGTACAAACAGGACTTTACTGAAACTCTTGGGCCCATTGTCCGGAGCTGTTGTGGCAGAAAACCCGAGCTCACAGTCTGCGATCCACTGGTCCACTGTCCCAACTGGGTTGCATGATTCAGTGCAGACTAAAGAAAGGCAAAATCTAAATTGGCACTATTAATTATTAACTGTTCAACTGGACTTTCAACAGATTTTGGTTCATCCTTCATCGCAAACTGGTAAGCCCCATCCGACAAAAAAAACAAACTTAACTAAACCTTTTCATTGGTTTTAACTCTAACAGATGGCCCAATTGCGCTGCAGGGAGCAACTAACATTTAATAATCTTAATAAGATTACCATTTACTATACATTTTTGGCTTGGTTTGCTAACAGATAATGGTGACATCTGGTATATATTCATAACATAAGACTTATTGACAGGTCATCAGTTATATTTTTATCTTAATGTGTAATGTTTATAATGTTCTAGTAAAATTACAGAAACAGAAATAATGTATGAGGAACAGGCTAATTGAACTAACCACATATTAACATCTTTTCTCCAGAATAATTGCTTTGAAGTCTGAATAACTATTAACAGATGGGAGGAAGAAAGCTGTTATACTCTAATACTGGCTTTTTGCATGAACACATTGTCCAAGTCTAAAGTAACCATATTCATTGCCAGTGTTTGGTTTGTTTACATATTTGAGTGCTTTTAAATATAACTTTTCTTGTCCAGGTGGCAATTCTTCAGGAGGAGCGTAACAGTTTATTGGCGGAGAATGATGTGTTGACGGATCGGGCCAATCAGCTGGACTCCTTTGACGACCTGAGCACTGCCTCAGGGAAGAAGCACAGTCTGTTACAGCAACAACTGGAAACCATACAAGAGGAGAACTTCAGGTCTGTCTATGTGTTTTTTAGATTTTGATTTGAGCAAATATATTATGTTGGTAACGCATTTGTTGATACTTGAACTGATCCTTGGTTCAATGGAAATTTGAATGACATTTTAGTCTGATTAGAGACAACCAATGTCAAATATTAAAAAGCCAAATATTACTCTGCTACTACTCTAGAAAGTAATTTGCCCTCATAATTAATTTATATTAGTGTGAAAGTATTTTTAGCCTTGGGCTAATTTATAGTTTGGACTTCAACTATTTTGGAAAAGTCTCATTTTCTATTTTTGTGACAAGCACTACAATTGTGATTTGATACGTTCGAGAGTATGAACATTCAAGATGAGACTAAAATATGAGCTATAAAATGAATTATCACATATATTTCAGAACACCTTTTATAAATGGAGAGGGTTAGTTGATTTTATACATGATGGGACAGGATATTTTGTATTTTACTGAGGAATCTGGTTGCTTCAATAATTGCTGTCTTAGCAATGTAGCCATTCAATTGTGATTAATCTTACTGGCGTAATTTCATTCTTGTCTCTGGTCGTAAGGCAGTGGGTTATTAATGCCTCTTCTGTCTCCCTAAGGCTGGAAGCAGCTAAAGATGATTACAGGATCCACTGTGAGGAGCTGGAAAAGCAGCTGATTGAGGTGCAGCATCGAAACGACGAGCTCACTGGTCTAGCTGAGGAGTCACGAGCGCTCAAAGACGAGCTGGACGTGCTCAGGTCTGTGCAACTATTGACCTATCGAAACAATATTTACAGTTACTCACTGTACACGCTGGAAACACTCCTTTCAGCAGCTTATAAATTGCCATAGTTCTGGATGGAAAAATCCTCCAAATGCAAAGTGTGTGTCAGTAGGTTCAGATAAAATTTTCAATTTGTTATATTTTTCAACATTATTTTCCTGGTTGTAATCTTAAACTGTATGTTGTTCAGCTCAATTTTGTCTTTGCTATTGTTGTGGAAACGTGCCAATCAACTTGTCTTACATTGTACACAAATGTAAGTTAACAGAGTTTTTTGTGTGGTGGCACAATGTCTGCTGAGCCTTTACACACGTTACTGACTGGTCTGAGCCTCGGATAGAAATCACATTCATTTACACATTTACTTGCTCAGCCATGACAGCCTTGGCAAAGTCCTTCAAGAAATTTGCTAGAAATATTTTGATTTATTTACTTTTGTATAGAAACTGCTCTGACCGTGTGGTGATGCTGGAGGCCTCCATTGAAACGTACAAGCGTAAACTGGAGAACCTCGGGGACCTGAAGAGGCAGATGAAGCTTCTGGAGGAGAACAACATGACTTACATGCAAAACACAGTTAGCCTGGAGGAAGAGCTGCGCAAAGCCAATGCAGCCAGAGCACAGCTGGAGACTTACAAGAGACAGGTACATATAAAGTACGGGGTGATGATGATGCAGTGTAAACAGTGATAATGATAATGATTTTCTCAGGTTCAGGAGCTGCACACAAAGCTGTCAGAGGAGACGAGACGAGCGGACAACCTAGCCTATGAAGTGAAGAAACTCGAAGAGAAGCATGAAACTGTACTTAAGGAGAAAGAGGTTGTTCTCATTTTAATAACATTTGTTGCTGTCCAAAGTTAGTTTAAAAATTTGTTTAGACAGTGTGATCCCTCATTCATCGCTATTTTTCACCAGAGGATCATTGTGGAGCGAGACTCTCTCAAAGAGCTCAATGAGGAGCTGAGGTGCACTCAGGCTCAGCAGCATCAGCTCTCTCAAGCAGGTAACAGTTACACACCTGGAGGAACTGTACCTGCACACAGCGCTCTATTGACTCATGTGTTTTCATTCAGGGATGCTTCCATCGGGCAGCCCCAGCCATGAGAACTTGGCAGCTGAACTAATGCCGGTGGAGTACAGGTACATTATCACTACAATCAAGTCAATTTGAATGTACTTGACTTCCAACCCTGTAATGACTATAATGATTTTGTCACTGTTTTAATTGTTTAGGGAAAAGTTCATTCGTCTGCAGCATGAGAACAAGATGCTGAGGGTGCAGCAGGAGGAGTTTGAGAGGGAGAAGATCGCAGGGCTCCAGTCTCAGCTCGAGGAGGCCCATAAGAATCGCAGTGAACTGGACACAGAGATCAGGTACAGTGTGGCAGATTGGGAGCATGTCTGCTGTTGTACCACAAATGTGTGCATTTATATTTGATTTTGTACTGTTCAGGTTGAGCAGAGAGAGGGTCAGTGAGCTGCAACAGCAAGTGGAGGACCTTCAAAAGGCCCTGCAGAGTCAGGCAGCTAAACCAGATGACGTAAGCAACAATACTACAGTCTCTTGGATATACTTCTAGGTTTAAAAATGCAATAATATTTTAATAGTTACACAAAATATTCCTTTGCTTTTCTTTAGTCCAACTTGAAACGGAAACTTGATGCACATATGTAAGTTGAATATTTGTGTTGTGTCAAAATATAGTATTAAAAGTTTTCTTATGGAACATCTTTTTATTCCATCATTTCCTTTTGTTGACAGGGTGCAGCTAAATGAGGCTCAGGATGAAATCATGAAAAAGAAAGAGCTCCTTGAGGACCTCCAGCCTGACAACACTCAGAACTGTGTGTGCAGATCTGGGCAACTTTAATCCATGTCTGAATAGAGAAATAGTTTTATGTGGTACGTGCGGTATTTATTTGTCTATTTTCTTTCAGCTATGAAGGTGGATGAGCTGATGGCAGCTCTTAAAAAGAAAGACGATGACATGAGGGCAATGGAAGAGAGATATAAAATGTACCTGGAGAAGGCTCGCAATGTGAGTGAAACTGGTATTTGTATAAGTGTGAAGCCCTGAGTCTGTATTGTTTCAGAATTGTTTCTTAACATTTTCCTGTTTGTAGGTGATCCGAGCATTGGACCCTAAACTAAACCCAGCCACAGCAGAGATCCAGTCTCTGAGGAATCAGTTAGCAGACCGGGACAAGCAGATACTCAGCTTGGAGGTATTGCAATAATTATAAAAATAATATTTAAAATTTGTAAATACAGCATATGTATTTTTTTTCCGCAGCGTCAATGTGAACAGGCCAAATTGAAGGAATATGAAGAAAAGTTGATTGTTACTGCCTGGTATAACAAGGTATAAAATATAATACCTTTTATATTTACTAGAACAGGAAAAATTATAATCACTTTAAGTTTAAATAACTTATTTTGGTTTTGTAAGATACAAGATTCACACATCAGTGTGTTTAATTTAAAATCCTTTGTGTGATCCTCAGAGCCTGAACTTTCAAAAGCTTGCCATAGAGTCTCGTCTTGGAGGCCGGGCGGCTCCTCTACTCTCCCCGGGACAGTCCTTCCTGTCCCAGCAAAGACAGGTGTCCAATGCTCCTCGCCGCACGCTCTCTGTCAGTGTGCCTGCAGCAGCCGCAACCTCCAAGTAAACACTGTCCCAAAGTCCCTTGTTTAGAGACAATCAGACCAGCGTACAATCAAGTGGCCTTAAAGCATGTCCTCAACACTCAGGATGTGATTTTGAAGAGCACTTGTGTAATCAAATTTATCTTGCTTCAAAAATCTATAATCTTCGCATGTACAAGAACGCTTAGTCCCATTCGTGGGTTAGAAGCTGTCCTGTACCTTGTCTACTGCCAAATTAGTGCACTTCTGATAATCACAGCAATTATTTAAGCTTCAGATTTTGTAGTGGTTAGGCTGAGTAAATAATTAAGCCAGAATGTATTTTTGTTTTTGTGTTGTTTTTTTTAGGTAAACGTGAATTCTTTCACCGACTTAATGTGAGCTAAAATAACTAAAAGATAATTAATGTATGTACAAGTCGTTATCTCTATACTATGCAGAAACCAAGAGTCCGACAGACTTTTTTTTTTTTTTAATAAAAGTTAAATGCTATTTTGGTGCGGGTCACCTCAATAGCTGTTAAAGTTTCCATTTGAACTCAATGACGTCCTATATGAAGTTGTCAAATGTATACAGTTGTAGGCTGATTTTCAAATACAAAAAACATGTCTTTTCTAGTAGATATGGAGCATTTCTAAAGAAAGCATTAGTTTTAGTAATGAAGGTAATTGAAAAACATGAGATAAACACTAGATTTTCTACCAAATGTTGGTGATAATTATCAAATTAAATGTTAAAATGTTCACTTTTGTTACTTAATTAGTTAATATAAACAATAAACAATGTTTTTGTATGGTTGCTGATATGTGCTGTATACGTCATATCATTTCAATGTAGCTGATGAAGCCTGTTGTGTGAAACACTGTAAAAAGTCATTATTTTTCATCTTTTTATTAATTTAAAAACATGAATTTCTTTGTGTGAAATAAACTTTATAAAGCAATGCAAGATGTCTGGTGATGTCTTTTTGTTTAAAGGACTTTGAATGAGAGCACTGACAAGTACAATATGCATTTTATTAATCTAGTGTTACAAAAGTATCATATTCAAGGGAATATTTTTGGCTAAATCTGCTTTATAAACTCAACTCATTCTGCTATTTTTCTAAAAGCCAATAAATAAATACAAAGAACTTCAATTTTAAAAGCCTTCAGAGTGGCTGAGCATAGATCTTGAAAGGATGGGGGGTGCGTGTTGCGCCAATTATTCCTTCTGTTTTGAGCTCAACTCCATCCAAAGTGGAAAAGGAAAACTTCTGAAACAAACCAACAAAAAACAGAAACAGCTCCATCCTGGCCAGGCCCTCTCCCAGGCACGCCCGCTTCCCTGCAAAATCAGCACCTCAGTTACAATATAATGTCTACAATTTAAACATGGTTATGGTTCTAGTGGTGGCTTTGACTCACACATACAGTGCATACATAAATACACCCCCTTCTTTCCCCTGGGATTTTGTGTACTTTAAAAAAGTAAATTTTACTCTACAAAATAAAAAATTTTACACCTCTTTTTCATCTCACCTGCAGAGAAAGGTATGAAGGCCTCCTTCTTGACAAACTTTCCCTCTGAGTCCAGAAAGTGTTGTGGGTTAAATTTGTCAGGAGTGGTCCATTCAGTTTTGTCAAACAGCACTGAGGTCAAGATTGGCATTACTGAAGTCCCCTACAACAAAACACAGCGCACAATTTTTTCTACACTACCTTTTATACAAGCAGGGCTGCACAGTATGCATGTTTTTGAGTTGAATGATGAAATGATAAATACGATGCAGTGCTAAATAAATTATTACTCTTATTCCTATAATATCCCATACCTTTGGAATGAAGTATCCGCCGAGTGTCACGTCCTTGGCCGCCCTCCTGAACCCATTGAGGGGCACTATGTTTCCTATTCTCTGGATCTCATGGATGACTGCGTCGGTGTAGGGCAGGTTTGCTCTGTCTGCCATAGTGGGCTGTCGAGACTGTCCGATCACTTTCTCTATCTCTGCGTGGACTTTCTCTGAAAAATAGCCCAAATACTTGAATGTGAAAGAACCTGTTTACATTTACAATGGGTTACATATACATAATATCAAAACTTCTGAGAGACTAAAATTTAGTCTGATTAATTTTGCACAGCAAGATGGAATTTTGTGGTATTTGTGAGTCCTCAAAAAGAATTCAGAGTGCTACACATATCAATTGTGAGCCAGGTTAAGGTCAGATTTCTACAGTTTGCTCTTAAATTATCAAAAAGCAGACATTTTAGATTATAAATTTGTTGCTTCAGTTGTTTGGCAGTTGATACAAAAACAGAGGGGATTTGGGATATCTTAGTTTTGGAGTAAATTGGTAAGATCTTTTACAAAATTGGCCCAAAATTCTAAAAGACAAAAAGCTTTAGGAGTGTAAACATTTAATAAATCAGACTTAGAAGTAGATATCAAAAAATCCTTCAGTACCAAGTGGAAATCTCTGGAAAGTGGTGCATGTATTTACTATTGTATGTATGAAAAATGCATTTTGAGAAAGCAGCTTTTGAAGTTACAATTCCACATACAAAACACACAATGAACCTACTCCATGTGGCATGAGGCCTCTTACCTTGGATGTGAGGGTTGTTGATGAGGTAGATCAAACCCCACTGCAGAGTCTTGGAGGTAGTTTCGGTACCAGCCAAGAACAGGTCCAGACAACATAGCACCAGGTTTGTCTCACTGAAGCCCAGCTCTTTGTTACCGGTCTACAGCCAAATAATGTAAAGGCACAAAAAAGAAAAGATATTAACAATTTTCTATGGAAGACCCAATCCATTTTACAATTATCTGCAATTAGTTGACACAAAATAATCCTTTGCATAGAAATATCTAATAGGTATTTTGTCGATCTATTGTGTAAAATGGCAAACATGTTTTTCTCATAGTAAAATTTACAGTTGTGAATGGGACATCTAATCAGTGGCTCAGTGTCTGCCATTGTTCCCCCTTCTGTGTCGAAACGTTGTAATAGCAAAAACATTGTCTATATGAACACCACTGAAATCATCTCTACATTGAACCACGCCTGGACGAATAAGAAGGATTACACTGTCTATATCTACTGTAATAATCTTAAAAATTGTTTAAAATTTCATTCAGAACCCACTTTTGCCTCTAACAGAAAGATGTCGATGTAGTCCCGTGGAGAGCTGGGGTCGAGGTCGGGCTTGTGTCTCTGGACCTCCTCTTTGATAAAGGCCCCTATGGACTTGGCGTGTCTGAAGATGCCATTGTGTGGCCCAGGCATGTGTGCCATCAGCGCTGGGAAGGCATCATACAGCTTTGGAGAAACACAGTCACTCATTCATTAAGAAGCACAAAAATATCTCACCTCACCATGACAGATGTGGAGTATAACAAAACACAAAAGGATTAGTATTTGCATTTTCTTAAGAACTTTCAAGAAACAAGGAGCAAACATACTGATTTTAGTGATGCATTATCAAGACCAGCAAGACCTTATACATCATGCTTTAGCAATTTTGCATAGTTGTGACATAGGCTATACACTTTGTAGATACATTTATTTCTGTGATGACTTTCTTTGACTTTTAATACTCACAAAGGCCCATACAGATCCTTCTAAATATGCCAGTTCATTTAGATCATAGAGCATGTCCTGGAAACGCTGATCACTGTAGTCGAACCTTCTGCCAAATACAATCTGACAGATGATGTTGGCCACTGCGTTGTTCAAAAGTAGAACAGGGTCAAAGGGCTCTCCTAAAATTATAAAACAGTCAAATATTTTATTGGATATTGTTACACTTTCACAGGGGGTCAAAGACTGCATTGTGGAAATTCATGTGAAAGTTTGAAAAATGTGACTTTCCAAGCATCTGTCTCAGTGCAATCCATCAGGTGGTGCTGCTCTACCACAGCATTTCAATACAACAACATGTGATTCAAACAGTTCATTTCAAGTTTTAACTTTCAGAATAATTAGAATTGTAAACTGCATGTATGACCAAACATGCATACTGACTTTGACAAACAGTTCTAAAATAAAATGGAATCAATGTATTTGGAACTGACTGTTTGAATAGAGAATCCTATATGCTTCTCATTTGGTGGGTAGTATTCACTGTGCACCTCTGTTCTTATCCATGGCGTCGTGCAGGTTGCGGCTCTCCTCACAGATCCTCTCCTCCATTGAACTCGTGGTGAGACCAAAGGCTCTCAGTGTCGCCATGGCAAACCGCCGCTGCCTTCTCCAAACTTTACCGTTACTGAAGAACAAACCAGCTGAGGCAGAGAAGGAGACACATATTGTGAGACTCATATTAATACAACTTTACCTAAGCCTTGGACAATGTCAACATTATCCTATAACAGTAAGGACAATAAGCAATGTCTTTGACAGCAAGGACATATTGTTGGGCATATGTGGACATTGTGGACATATTATGTTTTTTTAGGTACTTATTATTGAACTATAACATAACTAGATCTTCAACATACATTTGGTCAGTTGTAAGCTGCTACGTTTATTATTATTATTATTTATTATTAAACAGCATAATAATAGAAATGGGACCCTTTTTGTTCAAAATTGCAGAACTAGTAAGCACCACCTCTTCATTCATTTATGTTTTTAAGTGACATTTTAGAATGTATCACTCAGTATCGAATTTTCATTTTGTAAATAATCACAACTAAGTACTGGGATAAGGGGCAGATGAAAACAGACATTTTCTGAGCATTCAAGCTTCTAATGCAGGACAACGCATTATTACTCAAACATGCATGAATCTATCAAAAAATAATTATGAATACAATAATGACAGGGGAAGCATGATTATGAGCTCATAAAAGTCAATTTGCACAATATGTTCCTTTTAGGCAACATAAAAATTACCTGATACACCAAAGAAAATTCAGTAAATGGACAAGGCTAATGAGAAATAGTATCATAAAATATACAGTAAAGACAGCATGTACTACTCCTGCACCCCTGCTTTGATCTCCTAATTAGATTGATGGGTCAATCTGACAAGTGGCATAAAAAACATTTTAATTATGACTTGAAATGAATATAGTTATTATTTATGAATGAATGTGGCACAAAATTTCAAAATAAAAGTTATTGGTTTGTATACATACAGTGTTATTTAGCTTTTCTTGTATACCTGAATTCCCAGAGTAGATCCTTGTCACCATGGGACTATACGGTCGGTCCACAAAGTTTTCAGCTTGCGTCACGAGTGTTTCCTTCACCATTTTAAATCCACACACAAACACACTCTTGTCCCGGCCCACACGGATGCAGTACACATTCCCATAGACTTCAGCAAGCTGTGGAGTCAGAGAATGGGTGATCTGTTATCCAGCATGTGACTCTGGGGCATGTTCTCCAGGGAAATCCACACAGCATCATTTATACATATATTTTATTTACATTTCCAAAATGTTTCATATGTACATTTAGACTAATGTATATTTTTATTAGCTCTCTTGAAAGAGACTCGCATAACACAGAAAAAAATATTTATTTTATTTGAAATGCAAATGTTGATATGCAAATCTACAATCATCCAAAAGTAAATCTCCAAAAAAATATGAATAAAAAATAAAATATAAATAAATATGTAGAGTTTTAATTAACATAATAATTAACATAATGTGTTTTTGTAAAGAGATGAATGCAGTAAATTGGGCTTTCCTCACATTACATATAAAAAGAAGTTCTTTATAGCCTAAAGAGCTATACTGCCTTGTTTTAAGCAGTGGTCTTACCTTGGTAAGGTAGATGTGAGGCTGTTTTGGTTCAATGTTAAAAATATTCCCAATCAGGGGAAGAGGTCGTGGTCCAGGAGGAAAATTTGGTGGATCCTTATTTCTTATTAGATATACAATTAGCAACACAGAAAAAAACACAAACAGGATTCCGCTCACTTCAAAACAGGAAAACAAGTCAGATATCTGCATTGTCAGGCACAAGAAAAAAACACAGAAAACCACAGCGACATCAGCCACACAGACTAGACTAGACTAGTGACTAATGGTATGTAGATTTAATAATATTAGTCAGTGGGGCCAGCCCATGTCTCACTGAACACAATCCAGACCAACTGACCAGGGAGAATGGGGTATTTTTATTTATGGGCAGCAATGCACAGACCACATTAATCACAAAATCACAGTAAACTATTTTAAAATAGATATTATGATTTAAAAACTGGAGCTACAACAAATAGGGTCTACATAACAGAATGAACCAATAATTATCCATAAAAGTTATTTATACAACCCGGTACTGCTCATAAAATTGTCATTGTCAAAAGTTAAAAAATAAAATGCAACAAAATAAATGCAACAAATGCTGAGAAATGTAATCTTTAAAAATAATATAATACATTAATAGGCTACATGGCATTGATAATAGTGTTGTTGAAGGAAGAAATGTAATATTTTTAACAAGCCTATTTTTTCCTCATGGAAATAATAATATGAATATGTTGTATGCTTACAGAATCATCATTAAGAAGTGCTAATTATAGACTATAATATCTGAGAAAATTCATTTCTTATTATTTAACAAACTGGTTATCTCCCACAACAACAGCAAGACAAATAACGGGCTAAAGACAAAGACAGAGCTAGCACTCAAATCTACCACTAGATGGCGTCCAAGAATGATTTCTCGCTGGCTGTAATTCCAAAGTGAATAAATTTTATTAAACGTAAATCGGTTTACATTCGCTTTTAACAGTCTTTATTGTCTTAGTCTAGTCTAATTAGACAGAACAACCTGTAGTCTAGATTGTGCTACAGGTTGGACCTAGCGGACTTTAGCGTGAATCTTGAAGGGGTGCGGAACACGTGTGGCCCCGGTCACCCCGTCGGTCCTCAGTTCCTCTCCGTCCGAAACGTAAAACGAAAACTTCTGTAGCAAACCAACAATAAACAGGAACAACTCCATTTTAGCGAGGCCCTCACCAAGACACACGCGTTTCCCTGAAAAACAGCAACCATTGTAGTAAGTCTACAGGCTCACTCAAGCTATTGTATGTGGCCATAGATGGACCCATGATTGTATAGTAACTATTGACCGAAGATGAACGTCGACAACTACAAGTGACCCACTAGAGGGCAGACAAGCAGCCCGAACACTTCTATATATGAACTCTGAGAAAGGAAATGTGGTTTACCTGCTGAGAAAGGCAGCAGAGCGTCTCTCTTTCTAAACTTTCCGTCTTTGTCCAGGAAGTGTCCAGGGTTAAACGTGTCCGGAGTCTCCCACTCACTCTTGTCAAAGAGCACTGAGTGCAGCATGGGCATGATGCTAGTCCCCTGTAACGCACACACACACACACGCACACACACAGCCTACTTAAAGGTGTACTGTGGAACTTTCCCGTGTAGGGTGCGTCTTTTGCTTGTCTTTGTGGAGATATTATTGCGTTGTTTGGAATGTTCTACAGTATTTTATGGTGGTTTCATGGCAATATGAATCTTGTATTACAGTAGTTTCAAAATAACCAATTGTCCCTGGCTCTGTACCTTTGGAATGAAGTATCCTCCCAGAGTGGTGTCTTTTGAGGCCAGTCTCATGGCATTTAGAGGCACTATGTCTCCTACTCTCTGGATCTCATGGACCACTGCGTCGGTATATGGCAGGTTGGCCCGGTCTGCCATTGTGGGCAAACGATTCTGTCCAATCACTCTATCTATTTCTTCCTGGACCTTTTCTGAAAATGTAACATAGGAATTCATGGAAATAATCTATTTTAAAAGAGTTTATGCCTATTTAAATCTACAACTACTTTGACGTTCCTTACCCTGCACTTCAGGGTACTTTATGAGGTAAATCATGGTCCACTGCAGAGTGGTGGAGGTGGTCTCTGTCCCAGCCAAGAACAGGTCCATGGCACAATAAGCCAAATTTTTCTCATCAAAACCAGCATCAGAGTCTTTATGCTGCCAAGACAGAAATCATAGTGTGAGATGTTCCCCACACAAACTCAATTAAATGAAACAGACCGCAGTTATTCTTAATCTAACAACTGCCCCCATCCTTCGTCTGTTAAACTCCCCCACACATGGATGAATGAATCAGTGTAAGCTGGTATACACTTAAGGAACAGGTAACTTAAGAACAGGTCAGTACATACATTGGTGTTAAGTTTATTGCATCTATAAATCAAATCAAACCTGATCTCTTCCCTTTTTGTCCAGATATATTCAGTTATAGGGGAAAACGTATTGACACAAACACACATTTTGCATCTCGGCGATGAAGGAATCAATGTAGTCTCGAGGGTTACTGGGGTCCACGTCTTTCTTGTGGTTCTGCACCTCCTCAGTGATGAATTCAGTGACCTTCACAATGTTCTCAAACATTCTGTTGTGTGGACCAGGCAAGTGCTTCATCAGCCAGGGGAACGACTCGTACAGCTGTCAGTAAAAACACAGACTTAATCACGAAGAAATCAAATTATTCTAGACCTCTAATGTTCAATTGATCAGGGACAGACAAAATCCATACTTTTGTGATGTGGTAGGATACAGCTACTTTGAATATTTAAAAAATTGTCAGTGGTCAAGTTCAACTACTTTTGCTAATTTTACTTTAGTAGATTTTTCATAAAAATACCATTATCTTTAATAAAACTTGAACTGAAGAATACTGATTCAGCTGATAGGGTGGCAGTAATATTTTGGTTCCTGCATGTGTTTGTTTCATATGGTTTAGTGATTAGAGTTAGCTTTTTTGTATGTTTGTGGACGACAGTCTGACTATACCTGAGCCCACACTGTGCCTTCTAGATAAAAAGTGTCAGCCAAGTAACAGAGCATAGTCTGAAATCTGTGGTCGCTGTAGTCAAAACGTTTCCCCATCACCAGCTGACAGATGATGTTGGACACAGCATTATTGAAAAGGCCAGCGGGTCTGAATGGTGCTCCTAGAGAAGAAAATATATATGCTGAATGAGCACTATAGTTGTTAAAACTATCTATCTAACTTGGCTTTAACTAAAGAGATAGATACTTCACTTGTATTATCAGTACTGAAAAAATACATAGAACGAAATTTAAGCTCTCCAGAATAGTCTGAATTTAAATAAGAAATACATGGTGAACTTCTATTATTATTACTTTCTATTCTCTGGCAAAAGTGTGATTTTAATATCTAAAATTATGTCTTTATTGTCTATTAAAATCAATATTGAGTACTGAGCTTTTCCCTTAGTAACAAATATACCTGAGTGAGAAGTAGGCATACAAACAGTCTCTGCTCATGTGCATATAATTTCATGAAAGACCTTTGTAACTCTGTATCTCTTCTTGCAGGTTCTGGATCTCCTCGCAGATGCATTGCTCCATGGTGCTTTTGCCCAGGCCGAAGCTTCTTAAAGTGGACAAAGCAAAACGCCTCTGTTTTTTCCACTTCTCTCCGTTGCTCATGAAGAGACCTCCTGCAGCCGAATTGTCAGACGTTAGTATTAGTAGTCATTTATAATATTTGACACAAGGATCTGAAAATTTTACTTGGTAAAACCATATCTGTTATAACAAAAGAAACAAGAAAAGAATGCCCTAAATGGCAATAGGAAGGAGTGTATTGATTTACCCTTTGCTCCCACCAGGCAAGTACACCTATTATCACTGTTTTCGATTGATGAGAGCAGCCCGCGTGAGCTGGTTCTACAATTGTGCCCTTGCCATACTCAATGAAATCAGATAAGATAAACTTTATTGTCCCAAAGGAGAAATTTGTCTTGGGCTCACTGCCCGCAGCTTAAAAACAGTTAGACTCACACATCACACTACAGTCAGACAACAATCATAGCTCATCATAAGATATATATGTCCATTGTAAATTTGTGCACTGCACAACCATAAAGTGTCCAAGTTATTGCACCAGCCCTATTGCACAAATATAACCAACAACAATAATAAGTTCACACATTAAACTCAACAAATTCAAATGAAGCACATTACTACTATTCATTTTCCTGCTTTGAGCCTTGAGGACAAATGCTCCCTTGCTCAATATAAAATAATAGTGTGATTGGTGCACAACAAACTGTGCAGATCCTGACCTCCTGTTGATGAGTAGAACCTTTCAACCATCGGGCTGAAGGGACGATCCACAAAGATGTCAGCTTGGTTCAGTAAGGCTTCCTTCACCATCTTATATCCACAGATGAACACAATCTTATCGCTGCCAAATCGAAGGCTGAAGACATTTCCATAAATTTCAGCCATCTGTGTATAAACAATAACTGTAAACCACAGGGTACAGTGTATAGTTGCAGTTCAAAGTGCTGTTCTTAGATTCTTGAATATTTGTATAGAACATGAGTTTGTGAGTGTGTCAAACTAATAATTTAGTGAAATTGTACAAAAATCATACTGAAGCTCACCTTGGAAAAGCTCAAATGTGGAAATTTAGGGTCAGAATCAAAAATATTTCCCAAAAGAGGCAGAGCCCGTGGTCCAGGCGGGTAATTTGGAGGATTCCTGTTTTTAACATAATCTGCTATTAGGATGAAAACCACCAAAAACAGCGCAACTGATTTAAAATCCAAATTTAGCAGGAAACTGCAGAGCCACATGTTGAAACACAGACAGAGGTTCACGTGTCCTACAAAATTATATAAACTGAGTATTGCATAACTTAAGCTCCACCTACATGGGCTTTGTGTATGACCCTTAACATAACATGCATTTGTCTGAGTTTAAGAATGCACTAATGTGCAATAATACTATGCAATAATAATAATAAATACATAATTAGTAAAGTAAAGTAAAATAATATAAATAATAATATGTTGGTTGCTAATATAGCAATAGCAGAAGCTAAAAGCATAAATGAAAATGTCTTTCTCTGTTGTTTCCTATAATGCACGCGGTCTGCGTGTTGGGCACTGTGAAGGGGATAAAGCAAGTTGTATTATTGTGGACAAGCTCCTTGAAACTTGTGATGTTTTGTGCATCCAAGAGACTTTTTTAGCTAAACAGGACCTTCATAATCTCAATGGATTACATAAGGATTTTCACGGAGCAGGAGAATTCACTACTGACCTTGACTATAAACTGATTAAAGGCAGAATTTCTGGTGGCGTTGTCATCCTCTGGCGTAAAAACTATGACTGTTTGATTAAGGTACTGAGCCTTGGTGTGGATTGGGCTATTGGTCTGGAATTTCACTATAATGATAGTAAATTTATTCTTTTGAATGTTTATACACCATATGAGTGTGTGGAGAACGAGGATGAGTATCTGAATAGACTGGCATGTATTCTGGCTTTCATTGAGGGCTTGGACTGTTCTTGTATTTACATAGTTGGTGATATGAATGCTGACATTTCTGATAGTAGATCTTCCTTTGGCAAACATCTGAAACAGTTCTGTAATGAAAGTGGACATGTATTGTCCAGTCAGGAGCTTCTGCCTGCTGCTAGCTATACATATGTCAGTGATGCGTGGCACACTACATCCTGGCTCGATCACTGCTTATGTACGGCTGATGCACATGCTTCCATTGTAAAAATGCAGGTTGAGTACAATATGGCTACATATGATCATATGCCACTTACTTTTCATTGTAACGTAGAAAATGTTCCTAAACTGGCCCCTTTGAGTACCCCTGTAAACAGTGGCAAATGGGAGTGTCCAGACTGGTCCAATCTTTCTTGGGAAGAGATTTACACCTACACTCAAAGAACTGAGTTAAGTCTCAAGGATATTGTGTTTCCTAGAGATGCCATATTGTGTCGCAATGTTAACTGCACCAATTCTGAACATGGTGCTCATCTGGGCCTCCAATATGACACTGTTGTGAATGCTCTTATTATGTCTGGCCGGCCTTTATGTAAAAGGAGAGGTAATGGTCTTAGTGGTAAACCTGGATGGAAAAAGTTTGTTGAAGGGCCTCACGCTGAAGCATGGTGGGCTTTCAAGGCTTGGGTGGCAGCTGGAAGGCCTAGGTATTGACCTGTCTTTGAAGGGAAAAAACGGGCTAATGCTAAGTTTAAGTATGCTCTTAGGTATATTAGGAGGAATGAAAACACCTTAAGGGTCAACTTTCTTGCATCAAAATTGCAAAATAATGGATACAATGACTTCTGGAAAGAGATCAAAATGTTAAACAGTTGTAGGACTTCTCTCCCATCTAATGTTAAATGTGTGAGTGGCTCTAAGGTTATCTGTCAGCTATGGAGGAATTTTTACTATGACTTGTTTAACTGTGTTAAAAGCAATCTAAATGTGATTGAGGCTGTAGAAAACCACACAGGAGTTATAGTTACTCCTCAAGAGGTATTTGATGCTGTCTCTAGACTAAAGAACAACAAATCCAATAGGATAGACCAGGTGACATCTGAACACCTGAAGTTTGCTAGTACAAAGCTGTATCCATTACTAGCCATCTGCTTTACTGGGTTCCTGTTCCATGGCCTTTTGCCAGAGTCTCTCCTGTCTATTGTTTTGGTTCCTGTTATCACAAATAAAATGAGTAAACTTAGTGACATTAAAAATTATCGGCCAATAGCACTGGCTAACTCATTATCAAAGGTGCTAGGGAGGATTCTGTTAATCAGACTTGAGCCATATCTGTACACTCCGGCTAATCAATGTGGCTTTAAGCATGGTCATGGCACTGACACATGTATCTTTGCAGTGAAGATGTTGGATGAATATAATTCCCAGGGGTCCACTATATTCATGTGTTTTCTAGACAGAGACATGGACAGGCAACAGTGTAAGCTTTATGGCCAGGCCAATATGCTTGTCAGTAAGTTCTCCATGTGCTCCAGTGATGTCAAAATTGCACTTTGTAAATGTTTCTGCTCACCCTTGTATACTGCACATGTGACGCCCACAATGTGTGGTCACATTGTTTTTATTTAATGTAATGAAATTCTGTATATAAGGAATAGTGGTGTTTTAGTTTTGGGAAGCAATTGAAATTTCAATTTTGTCCACCAGATGGCAGAGCATGCAGTGAGACGGTTTAGCAGAAAGCAGAGGCCTCAGCTAATAACGTGTCCGTCTCCATTTGTTTATTTCAGAACCAAACTCTCCCCACACAAATATTTTAAATTGCCAGCAGTGGTTGTGCCGGCCCAATACCTGCTACACGCATCTTTGGCGCAACTACAAGAAAAAGAACTTGCAGAGTTTGACAGTGGCCTATAATGACTCTTTGAGAATATTACTGAAAGTGCCGAGGTTCTGTAGTACCAGTGAAATGCTTATAAATTGTGGTGTGAGACCCTGTGCTGTCACAATCAGATGTTGTATTTATTCATTTATGTGTAGAGCCATGAATCTGTGCAATCAATCATTGAAGCTCTAGTGTGTCCTGTAAGGAGCTCTGTCAGATTCACCTTTAAGCTGTGGAGACACTGGCACTCTTGTCTGTATACATTATAACATGCACTGTATTTAACTTTTTTATTCTTACTATTTTCTTTTTAATATTATGAACCAGATACTGTGTGTTCTTAGTAAAGATTGAATTGAATTGAATTAATATAGTATTAGTGTATGCAGTTTTGAGTGTCCATTTATCATGATGATGTAATTATGCCTACTTATTTTTTTATTTATTTTATTTTATTTTGAAAAAGCTTTCTTTTATGTAGTACATTATGGTTCAAGTCCAATACAATACATTCGAGGTGTAGTCTGAGACTAAGCCACAGTTAAAATTACATAATGGTGACAAAGCACTGAAAAGCAGGTGAAAGAAGAAGGAGGTAATGTTCACTTTGGGTGGATCACACAGATTTCCACTTTGTGAGTGTTCCCAGGGTTATTTCATGTTCAGGCAGAATGTAGGTTTGCATTTGGCCCAGAAAAGCCCAAGCAAAGCTTCACTCATAAGGAGTAACAAAGGTGATTTTTTTTATTGTACAAATGAAAGTTAAACCAATAGCTTATCAGCATGGTTTAGAACCACTAATGACTACTAGTTTTTCCAAGCTATCTGTAAAACTATATCTTATGTCTTCATCAGTCTGAACATAAAGATCAATTTATGCTTGCGACTCTAAATATTTTTGGACCTTGAACCTAATTTACCAATAAATATTGTATTATTATCCATTTTAGTTCTGTTTTGAGCTAGGTATGTATAGTCCTATTTTTATGTGGTTTATATCTGGTTTGGATATTGTTTATTCCAGTATTCTTTCCACTAGTTTGTATGCTGACAGATTTTTTGACAACACATACATTTTCATTATAAGTGAAAAATGTACCCAGGCCTCCTCTTGGTATTTATCTTGAGAAAGGGGGGTAATAATGCAATTCAAAAAATAAAAGAAAAAGAACGATCTTCATATTTGTCTCATGTTAAAACTATCACATGAATACATTGGTGCTTGTCATTTATGGTCGTATGAAGCAGCTTCAAAAAGCAAGGAGACAGATCCTTTCAAGCTGTCTAAACTCTGGAACTAATTGCCTCCTCACTTACGCTCTGTACATAGTGTAGATACTTTTAAAAGGCAGCTGAAAACGTTCCTCTTTGAGCAAGTGTCCCCCCGTGTTTCCTTATGTTTAGGGCTGTTATGACTGATGTTATTATAAATGTATCTGAGGTTTTTTTTTACCTTTGGCATGTGAAGCACTTTGTGACCTATGTCTATAAAAGTGCTGTATAAATAAACTTTATTTGTATCTTATCAGAAAAGCAAGGTAAGAGGCAAAGGTTTGTTAAATGGCACCAAGCAAAATGTTTATTGTCAGATAAGTCAGTTTCACAGTGAACTTAGTGCAGTGTTATTGCCAGTTTGGTCAAGTGTAACTGCAGCATTAGGTCAAGTTAAAAATCTGGTTCAAATGTCATGTGAATTTTCAACCTAAAACCATTCTCTCAAAAAATGTCACTTAATATTACATAAATTACACTAAAATGCATGAAATATTTCTACATATTTTTGCTCCTTTATTTATAGTACAATGATTTCTGCCTTTGATTGCTCTGTGAATTCAAGTTTACTTAAATGTAGATACATGTACATGCTGGTGTTATATTACTGTAGGTGTTGATAATGGTAATACGTTTTCCATATTTTTTCCAGGTCTAGCGTGGCACTGCCATCACCCGAAACTGTTCAGGGGCATTTGTGAACCCCTGGACCCCGACCAGACTGGGCATCTCTCCAGGGAGTGTGGTCAGAGTGAAGCGCTGCATTATTGCCGAAAAGAACAGGAACAACTGCATCTTAGCTAAGTGCTCCCCCAAACATGCACGCTTACCTGCAGAGAGATCATACTCTTTTACAAACAATAATTAAGATGCACAGTCGTAACATGTGAGAAATGTACCTGCAGAAAATGGAAGAAATGCATCTCTTCTTTGGAAACGTCCCTCTGCATCCAGAAAGTGCCCAGGGTTAAACACATCAGGCGTCTCCCATTCGTTCTTGTCAAAAAGCACGGATGCAAGATTTGAGGTTGTGACTGTTCCCTGAAAGAGTGCATTAAGTGTTTTACAAACAAAGTATTCATTGTTTATTCTATAAAACCCTTACTTACACATTATCTTTGTGTTTTCAGGTTTTACTATTTAATTTCATTTTCAGGCCTATTGCTAAAGCCAACTTTGAATTTGAATGATATGGTCTGAATGTACTACAGGCCCTTAATGTAAATGGTGCTGATGATGAACCAACAAAAAAGCAATCTAACTCTACCTTGAAACCTAAACTCCAAAACAATTTAGAAACATAATACAGTCACAAATTACCTTGGGTATAAAATATCCACCCAATGTGGTGTCTTTACTGGCCATTTTAGGGAATCCCAGAGGCACAATATTTCCAAATCTCTGCACCTCGTGGATCACTGCGTCTGTGTAGGGCATCTCAGGGCGGTCTGTGAGGGTGGGCTGTCGAGACTGTCCGATCACAGCGTCTATCTCTGCCTGCACTTTGGCTGAGAGACAAAGCATAAACTGCAAAGTCTGGTTTAAATATCAATACACAAGTAACCGCTACAAAACCATTCAGCTTCCTATTTACCCATTTTTATTCAAACGAAGCTGTAATATTTAGTTTTAAATTGTTTATTGATATTTTTTTCTTAAGGATAGGGAAATAGTTGGCTACTATGGCAGGGTCCCTGTGCACATACCCTTCTACTGAGAGAATGGTTTAACTAGTTTGACTAGTTTCTGATCATATTATAATTATAAATATGGTGTAAGCGTCACTTCTTGTTTAGGCACAGAAGCTGATGTCAAACCACCTTTGCATTTTATCTGTGCTGTTTACAGTGCAGTGACAGATCTCTGAAGTAAAACCTCCAAACCCCACAGTGGTCTTATCATTGCACCCTCTGTGAAGAACTAACCCTGTATCTCTGGGTAGTTCATCATGAGGACCATGGCCCAGCGCAGAGTCGTAGTAGTTGACTCAGTCCCGGCCTCCATCAGGTCTAAAGTGCACACCAGCAGAGTGTCTACATTAAAGCCAGCAAGGGGGTCCTCCTTCTTCTAATCAAATGAAACATGAATGAATATTGATGCTCAAACCATTCTTACATCATGTCACTGTTGATCTGTTCATAACAAAGCATTAAATAAAGTAGAAATAAGAATCAACAGGCTACAGTCATGGCATTAATATTTAAAAAATTTAAAAGAACGATGACATCAAAGGTTTAAAGAGTAGTCATCTGAACAAGTCACCTACTTATGACACCATTAAATGTTAAACATGATGCTTTATTTTAACCACATTCATTATTTGGTCAGAACCAACCAAACCAGAACATTTTCAATTTAATAATAGTGATTTTACTGCCCCTAGCAATAACATCATGAATTTAGACTTGTAGTTTTCAAGCAATTGTCTTGTCTCACCTTCTCCACCTCTCCCAGGTAAACGTCGATATAGTCACGAGGATCATCTGGGTTTACTTCCTCCTGGTGTTTCTTTATTTCTGCCATCAGAAAGTCTAGGATCTGAAAATAGTTCTTGTGGACTTTCTGATGTGGCCCGGGCAAGTACTTCATCAGACCAGGGAACACATCATACAACTGAAGAAAGATACAAAGGTGAGTGTTCAAAAATTAATCAAGACTAACAGCTATTAGACAAATGATAGTGTTAACCATTTGGGACCATTAAAGGCAAAGAGAAAACCAGATGAGAGTGTGGGGGCTGTGTCTGCATGCCTGGATGGGGGTTAGATGAGGACATTCCTTCAACTAAATATAAATTTTGCACAAATAAATTACAGTTTATAAAATATAGGAACTACGCAGATACGCCAAATTAGAAAATCAGCTTTATTGTTTAAAAAAATAACTGATTTATTATAGAAATGTAACAAACTCATGTTCATAAGAGTATATTAATATTTTTGCTCTTATGTGTGTAATTATATTGTCCTTTCACATTTCATTTATACATTTTAAGAGACATTTTAGCACATTTCTCAATCTTGTGTCTCATCTCGTCTCTCTAGATAGCAGTTACACATGTTTTAAGCCCTTTAAAAAAAAAAAAAAAAAAACTTGATAGCTTGAGCAATAGAAGAGCCAGCCAAACTAACAGCCTCAGAGTCCAGCTGAAGAATCCTACGAAAGCTCTCGTCTGTGTACTCAAAGCGGCGTCCAAACACCACTGAACTGATGATGTTGCCAACAGCGTTAGATATAGTGGCCTGGGGATTGAAAGGTCTCCCTGGAAACAAATAATCATCTTAATGTGAGATAGTTTAAGTAGAAATACATTATAAATCATTATGGTTTTCAGTGATGCAGGTGAAAATACATATTCAGTACAACAGTTGGGCAGATACATTAAAACATTTCCTTGAGCAATTTTTTTGAATAACGTGAAGTGAAG